ATTCATATTTATTTGATTAGTAGTAGAATTGAACATTTTCTTCCTATGTTTTTATTTATTATTTTGGCCACACTTTGAGGCATGTGGTATCCCTGACCAGGGATCCAACCAGAGCCTCGTGTAGTGGAAGTGCAGAGTTTTAACCACTGGACCACCTGGGAAGTCTCTCTTATATATTTTTCTCCTTCCTATATTTTTAATACAGGTATGCGTATGAATGGTGGTTGTAACATTTCTCAATAGAGAAATAATTTGGGGTGGTGTCTGTAAGGAAATGGGTACTTTTTAAAATCAAACCTAAGTCTTCTCAGTTAGCAACAAAGAGAAAAACCTCCCTGGAAAATTTCTTGTGAACTTTATTTATAACCCCAAATGTGATGATAACACAAAATCCCCCTTTCCCCTGTGGATCTCTAGCTAAATACGTTGCCACCACCTTCTTTAACATACAGGCCCTCTTAGTTATAGCATAGCTGTGACCAGGCTGGAATATTTTTTAAAGTTTATACACTGGACCAACAAAAGTAACATGGTTAGGGAGAGTAATCCAAAGCTAAATAATCTGTTTTATCTGATATTTTAGTTTTCTATCTATTGCCATATAACATAAAATTCCACAACTCAGTGGCTTTAATCAACAAATATTTATAGCCTCTTACAATTTCTATGTGGGTTAACTGGATCCAACAGTGCAATTCTATATCATGTGGTAGGGCTGCAGTCTTCTGAAGGCTCAACCTGGCTGGAATACCCACAGTGGCTCACTCTCATGGAGGACAGACAGTGTTTGATAGCTGGGAACTTAGCTGGGGCTCCTGATTGTTCTCCACACAGTTTCTCCATGTGGCTTGGGTTCTAAGACGGAATACTCTTAGGTGTGCCTCGGTATGACAGAAGTCACCTTGTGGAGTGAAAGTGAAAAGTGAAACTGTTAGCCACTCAGTCACATCCAATTCTTTGTGATCCCATGGACTGTAGCCCGCCAGGTTCCTTTGTCCATGGAATTCTCCAGGCAAGAATACAGGAGTGGGTAGTCATTCCCTTCTCCAGAGGAATCTAATATTAGCAAGCATTTCAAAGTTCAAACCCCAGAGAATGAGGGCTGGAAAAAGGAATTTCCTCTCCTGTTTGCTTGGAAACAATCTCCTGTTAGTCTCATTACCTATATCAACCACCATTTATATCTTGGTGGCTGAAATGGTAACCTACCACTCTCAGGGGACACACTGGCTTCTCAGAGACCTCACCTAGATAACAATTCAGAACTGGGGGAACAGTGCCAATAATCATTCCAGGGATATGCACTTACATAGATTGCCAAGGGAGGAGGGAGTAGGGTGGTGGTCACTCAGTCACATCCAATTCTTTGTGATCCCATGGACTGTAGCCCGCCAGGTTCCTTTGTCCATGGAATTCTCCAGGCAAGAATACAGGAGTGGGTAGTCATTCCCTTCTCCAGAGGAATCTAATATTAGCAAGCATTTCAAAGTTCAAACCGCAGAGAATGAGGGCTGGAAAAAGGAATTTCCTCTCCTGTTTGCTTGGAAACAATCTCCTGTTAGTCTCATTACCTATATCAACCACCATTTATATCTTGGTGGCTGAAATGGTAACCTACCACTCTCAGGGGACACACTGGCTTCTCAGAGACCTCACCTAGATAACAATTCAGAACTGGGGGAACAGTGCCAATAATCATTCCAGGGATATGCACTTACATAGATTGCCAAGGGAGGAGGGAGTAGGGTGGTGGTCCGTTTCATTGCAGTTGCATGACAATTACTATCTTGTAATTATCTCTCATTGTAAGAGAGATACATTTTGAGAGTTACATTATCTCTCATTGTAAGAGAACACTGTAAACAGGCAACCTATTTATACACTACTTAAGAATGAAATTGACATGGGAAAATAAGAGAGACAAATCAACCAATCTGGTGTATGTCTACGTCAACTACACTAAATACATCATTAATATTTTATGCCTTAAAATGTATGTCTTGCTAGCATACTTGCCATTTTCAAAGTCTCTTATTCCTGTGTGACATACACAAGGAAAACAAGAATTTAAAAATGCTCCAAACATAATTAATTTGATGTGGATAATTTTGAATTTCTAGATGCTGAATAATCACATAAACTTTTAAATGTTTGAGTTTCCAACTATAAGGGTAGGCAAATGTCTTTTCCTTTTACATTGCAATTGTTCCCAGGGTCTAAAGCCCAATAAAGATGTCATTCAAAGTTTTCCTTAACATTGGTAAGACTTAATGACTAGTAAAAGCAATGTGTGCCTTTCTTGTGAGGAGGGTGCTGCAAGCCAAGGCCATCAATTTCCAGCCTATGATATAAGTTACGCTGAATAACAATTTGAAGAAAACTCCAAATCCAGCAATACACATTTAGGTGTGTAGTAAGTCATGTAGATGGTACCTTTCCCCTAAATTATAATCTAATTATACTCTAGCAAAATGTCAAGAAGTTACAATTGGGTGGACTGGGTGTACTTTCTGGTAGAAATAAAGAAAAATTCCATTCTATTTTTATTATCAAAATTTTCTTTTCTTTGCATATAGGTGAAGGCTTATAGATCAAGTCTTTTTAATTTCACCTTGGAATTACATTCTCTTTGCTTCAATTCCTTTGAGTTATGCACAAAGTCTCCTGTTCTAAATCCACTGCTGTTTTTCTTTTCTGCTATGACTTCGATGTACACTGGAGGCAAGTAAAATTATGAAAACCCTTAGCCCTTAATTCTGTGAAGGTGGTGACGTCAGAGAGAGACATATGTTAGATGGTGATGAAAAATTTAAGTCTGGCTTTATACAAGGTAATCTTTTTTTTTTTCCCATTCCTTCCTTTCCCTTTTGTTTTAAAAGCAAATTTTTTCATCTTTATTCTCCAAATTTGGGTGTATTTGCCCCTCAGAATTTCAATACCTTTTTTCCTCTCTGCTAAACAAGACTTGTGATGACCTGTTTTCCCTTTCATCTTAAAACATTTTGCTTTTATCTTTCTTTATGTGATATATGGGCTTCCCTGGTGGCCCAGACAGTAAATAATCTGCCAGTAATGCCGGAGATTACCCTGGGTTCGATCCCTGGGTCAGGGAGATAGCCTGAAGAAGGAAACGGCAACCCACTCCAGTATTTTCACCTGGGAAATCCCATAGACAGAGATGCCTGGTGGACTGTAGTCCCTGGAGTCACAAAGAGCTGGACATGACTGAGCAACTAACACTGATGATGATGTGATATATAAATTCAAATAATTATTTTAGTTTTGTTTCTGTTGAAACAACCACACTGTGTTTAGGGCATTTAGCATCATCTGCTTCTTCTCAATGAGGGCATTTATTCTTACAAATACTCTACTAGCACCTATAGGCCAGATATATTAAGGTACTCAAGATTAGACTGCCCAAATCCCAGGGAGCAAATGATATAAGACATTCACGGTTTAATGCTGCCTTGCCTCCTTCCACAGGTGTTAACAGTGAAGTGAAAGTTGTCTCTCTGGCCTGCTAGCACACCCACTTCTCCTCCAGACTTATTCACTTAAGGATTTAAAATGTAAACCTGAGGTGTTGGAAATTTTCAGGAATAGCAAGCTCTTGATACTGCCTCTTAGCCTGGTCATGCACAAGTCATCATTTCAGATCATGAGAAAACTGTCTGCCTCATTTTGGAATATTAAACCCACTTGGAGAAAACAGATATTTGCAACCATGAGCTGTGTAACAGCTGAATTCACTTCAGTATTTTAAAAAGGTGTAAAGCTTTAAAACTTTTCTAAGGACACTCCTGTGCTTCTGGTCTTATGTTGCTCTCCTCCTTCTAAATTTCCACGTGATAGCTGAAATCAACTTCATTTTTCAAGTCCGTCTCAAATAACCCTTTCTGTAGGAAACTATTTCCTCTCTCAAACCAATATAATTTTTCTCCTGATTCCTCCGTAGTACTTCCTAACTTTGACACCACTTTTGTTTCATTTTTGACTGCTAGTATTTTAAACACTGGCTTCCCTGGTGGCTCAGAGGGTAAAGCCTTTAAACATTACATATATATTTAAGGCCTTAAGGCTTCGAATAGTAAGTACCCTAAGGGTGAAAAGCCACTTTCTTCTGCAATTTGTGTTCGTTTTTCACTAATGCCTCAGGAAGAACACTTCACTGTTGATGGGGGCGCAGGGGTCACGGGTGATGATCCGAGCTGTTTTTAATCGTAATATAATTGATCTTTTAAACTAGTCTGAGAATGAGGCGAAACTAACTTTCACATTGGAAAATCCCGAGAGGTAAACACCCTTCAGAGATCTACAGGCAGAATGAACCCGCCTCCACGCTGTTTAGAGCAGCTGTCTCAGGAACCCTCCCTTCCTTAGAATGTGGGAGAGGTTCGGTGGGGCGGCAGCTGCAAGGAATCTTCCCCGTTCCTCGTGCAAATGATCTTCCTGTCCTACACTCCCTTCCGAGGGGAAGGTGGCAGCTGTCAGGGCATCCCAGTGGTAATCTCTTCCCGAGTCTTTGCCGAGCGCGGCAGGCGGGCAGCAGCTGAAAGCTGTCAGAGGTGGGGACTCTGTGCTCCCCTTAGACAAGGGCAGCAGCCTTGCTGGCTCCGGTACTGCCATCTCTCTGGCTCTCAGCGGTCCCTCAGGTGTTCTTCTCCAAGAAGACACCTTGGCAACGAAGGGCGGGTTCCCTACGCGCCAGGAGACCCTACGGTAACTTAACAACAGAAGGAGCGTAGGAATCGCCGCCTGGGCACTCGCCAAAGCACCTTCACAGGTCGGGGAGTGGAAGGTGGGGGAAGAGTGGTCTCCACTCCCGGCCGCCCTCGGCGCTGTCATGGCGGCGGGGAGCAGCTTCAGCGGGCACAGGGGTGGCGGCGCTAGCGGTGGCGGGGCGAGCTGTGGCAGTAGCATCCTCAGCGCCCGCGGCGGGGTCCGCAGCCGCACCCGTAGCGCCGGCAGCGGCTGTTTTTGCAAAGGCTGAGGGCAGGGGTGGGGCGGGCCAGGAAGCCATGGAGTTCTGTGCAGCCTCGGACTCCCGGGGAGCGGACTAGGGAAACTTGGAGGCTGCGGCCAGGTGCGCTGACCTCTCTCTCCTCTCTCCTCTCCTCGCCGCAGCCGCCGGGCCTCCCCCGCCCTTCTGGCCACTACACACCGTCCCGCCCTCCCCGACGAGCCTCAGGTGCCCGCGAGGCGCTCCACTCCTCCCCCTGGGCCGAGCGTTAGAGTCATCGCCGCCCCCTTCCCCCGCCCTTTCCTGCCCTGGATCTCCGCCGCCACCTCCGTCTCGCGGCTGCCGGGCGGGGGGGCGAGGACGAGCCCGCGGTGTCTGGGTGAGGGGCAACTTCCTACCTCGAGGGTCGCCTTGGGGCCCCTGCTCTCCTCCAGCCCCCCCCTTTCCCGGCGACAGTTCTCTTTTCCGTGCACCTGTGAGGAGAGGTTGCCCTGCGCCGGGAACCTGCGAGGGTGTGGGGGAGGAGGGAACCTGGTCCCGGGCCTCCGGCTCCCGCCTGCGCTCGGAACCCCGCGCCTCGAGCCGCGGGGACGCGGGTGGCTGGAAGCGGGGTGCTCGGAGGAACTGCCTCGACGGACAGCAACTACTCCCCTCTGTCCCCCAAAACCCTACAACAAAACCGAGCCCCTTTAACATTGATCTGATCTTCCAATAGGGTTTGGCGTTATTGTCAGCCTCCGGGAGAGAGATTGGACAAACATTCTCCAGAATCAGCAGGGCGACGCCAAGGACTTTCCACACCAACTGCTCTTGGGGTTTGTCCACAGCTCGGAAGAGTGACCCTTTCCGTTTTGCGTGGCGTCCGTGTGCTACTAGCGCGGCGACTGGGTCCCGGCGTGACTCCGAGTTGTCCTTTCCCGTGAACTCGCCATGGCCAGTGAAGACAATAATGTCCCATCCCCGCCACCAACAGGTGATGACGGGGGAGGTGGGGGGAAAGGAGAAGAAGCCCCTGCCGAAGGGGGTGCCTTGTCCCTGACCCCAGGACTCCCCATCAGGGGTATCAGAATGAAATTTGCCGTGCTGACGGGCTTGGTTGAAGTTGGAGAAGTATCCAACAGGGATATTGTAGAAACTATCTTTAACCTGGTAAGTAGATCTCTGTTTTATCAGCGTATCTTCTCAGTGGGTTGGAGAACAAGACCTTAGAACTGAAGGCCATGTGCTTCACTCAGGCTGGTGATAGAAACAAAATTCTGCTGACCTAAGTTAATCACTTTCTGATATTTTTCAACTTAAGGGGAATTATGTAAATTTACACCTTCCAGGTTTTGTGAAAGTGAGCAGGTCACTTTGGTCCCAAGAAAGTAATTGTTACTATGGAAGTATTATGGAGGACTCCTGTGGAGGAGTTTTATTCTATAATTTTTTTTTTTCTCCCCTTGGGATGTATATCTGTGTGCATTTCTCTTTGACATTTTAAATGAGTTCTTGTGCCCTTTGTTTTGGACTTGAGAAATAATGTAAAGGGTAGTTCTGCCTACTCTTTTTTGAGTAAGTTATGTTTTGCCATAAATTTTGAACAAAAAATTCTTGTTCACAGCGCTGATGAAAGATTAATTTGCTGCAAAGTTAGCATCTATATTTAGTTTCCATTAGTTTTATTTTTGGACATAAGGAACAAAAGTCATTTTGGAATGAAATTTAGGGTTACATCTTTTGAAAATTGAGTGGCAAAAAATTAAAAAGAGGATTGCAGCAGAAGTAGTATGATCTTTATTTCTCTTGTGAATTCATGTCTATCAGCAAAGCATATTTGGGCATTGGAAGCTGCTGGTTATCTTACTATGAGCTACTGAATGTTGTTTTTAAAAGGTGGATATGCCCTACTTCCCTTTTCCTGTAGTCATAGAAATAGTTTTCATTTCTAATGGGGACTTTTTAGATTCCTTTATTTCAAACTGTTGCCTGTCAATGTACAATAAATTTGGCTTTGATATTTCCCCTTCTTCCACCTACTCACCTGTGTTACAAGATAATGGAAGGGAACAAGTATGAATGTGCAGTAGTTGAATAACTGTTTAGCCCCTTTCCCTTTTGCCTCTATTTTTTCAAGGTTAGGTTTGTTTTATTCAAGGCAGTTAGTTATTTCCTTCACTAGACCTTTACTAATAGACTAGTTACCTGTGGTACAATTTCTAGAATGTGGTAAAATTTCTAGCTAGATGAAATTCACTTACCTGTGGAATATGAAAATTTTGAACAATAGAGTATTTCTCTAGCAGTTTGTTGTGTTGGGAGTTTATATGCAAAGACACACATGTACACACTTTAAAGTAGGTATATTGTGGAAATACTGAGATGTACACAAAAATAGAACAGTGTAATAAGTTCTGGTGTCTGTTATCCAGTTTCAACAGTTAAAAACGTTTTGGGAATCTTGCACATGTGTGGACTTCCGCAGTTTGTGAATCTGAGGAAGATAAATGGCAAGTTGATGTATTCTTTTATCTCAAGATAGACTTGAGAACTTTGCTTCTCGATTTTTCTTTTTTAAATTTTTCTAAACCTCATGTTTCTTGGATGTTAAAGAAAAATCTGTGATAGTGATACAGTCCATCATTAATTGTTTGTGTGTGAAATACCACATTCCTCTGGCAGAGGAGGATTCCAGCTCCTCTGTTTGAGTGCCCTTTGTGAAGGTGGATGACCAAACATGAGCAACTTGGATTTTATCATTAAGGAAAACCCAAATTCTGTAGTAATAGTTTATATGCTGCCTAGAATTCTAGACCTGGGTATAGATTTTAAGGTGATTGGTTAAGTCTTTTATAGCTGTCTGTGGGGCAGCAGGTGTCTGGGTAAAAGGAGGGGAAAATCTGTTCAATTACACCTCCTCTTCACCACCATTCTCTTCTCATGTAAAGCAGAGAAAGTTGCTGAGAGGATCAGATTAGTTCTTTTCTTCTGTTCTTCCTTACAAGACTTTTCATGCTCTACCCGGGTATCAGGCGTCTTGGCCAGTCTTTTGAAAATATCAGAAACTGAAAATGTTAGGAATCTGGTAAGCTAGCCCGTTTCAGTGTTGTTAGGACTGCTGTACTTAAATATTTTCTAATGGTTATCAGCCTTTGTCTCTATTCTACTCAAAGAAGGAAGTTGTATTAACTAATAATAGGTGCGATAAAAAAAAAAGGTACTGCAGTTTAGTACCAGCTAGGCAATGGGCCAGGTGCTTTACAAGTGTTTTAAAATTCTTTCCTCAAGTCTTTAACACTGGAGCTTATTTTATAGATGAGGAAAGGGAGAGCCTGACAGGTGAAGCAGATTGGTGATTCTTAGAATGACGAACCTTCTAGGAATACATCTGTTTCTTGAGTTGATGTAGAGTTGTTTGCTTTCCTGAGCAGATATTTATAGCACAGGCATAGCTTTCCCCAACCTAAGGACAGAGCAATCATTGGTCGTGCTAAAGGTGAATAGTGAAACTTTGTTCACATTTCATTTCTTCTTCTTATTCAAACAGCTTTCAAAAAACTGCTTAGAAAAGACCTAAAAAGTAAAAAAAAATTTTGGTTCAGTCAGGATTTTCAATCAGAATGTAGATGTAGAAGGTTGATTATTAGCTTTTTTTTTTTTTACAGTCAGTATGTTGGATTAAAAATTTTTTAATTGTGAAAAATAGCATACAGACAAAAGAATGTCTTAAATGTATAAGTAATAAGATATTATAACAATATAAGCCCCATGAAACTTCCATCTAACTTAAAGAATCAGCATGTTGCCAGTATCACTGAATCCTTATGCAAGCACCTCCTTTATCCTTTCTTCACTGGAGTTTTTGTTAGTCAGTTTATATAGCTTTTGTAACTTTTTCCTATTTTTCAGACATTTTATTAAAATAGCTTATATCTACCTATTCTTTCTAAACAATTACATGTTAGTTTCTTTAAACCATAAAGTTTGTATTGTTAAAATTAAACAGCCTCCCCTCCATGAGCGTTGTCCGGAGAGGTGGTAGAGCTATATAACTTGAGGTCTTTACAGAGTGTTGTCCCCAACTTTGCTAATGTAGCTTGACCTTACACTATTAAAATATTCTTTGAAATTTGCCACCCTTTTTGTAATTTCTTTTGAGAATCTTTGTATGTAAGTTTTGATTAATAGTGCACCTGTGTATTCAAGTATTTCAAACTTGTGGTTTTACATTTTTCTTGTCACAATGTAAAAACATTTTGTCTCCATCTGTATACTAAAGTAATTTGTCAACTTTTGGACCCAGAGTAATTAATGTTTTGGCATTTTTCTGGAACTTGCTGCTGAGTTTAAGGCTTCCACCAAGTATTTATAGGTAGTCAGTGCTATTTATTTATTTATTTTTTTAGTCAGTGCTATTTAAAAGAATGATGTTTTCCATGGGATGGTGACAAATACACATTTTCGTGACTTTTTTTTCCTTTACAATTAACTGTACCATTTTATTTAAATGTTAAAGCTTCAGGATTTCCTAGGCAGTTCAGTGGTTAGGACTCAGTACTTTCTTGCCATGACTTGGGTTCAATCACTGGTCAGGGAGCTAAGGTCCTGCAAACTGTGTGGTGAGTGTGGCCAAAAAAAAAAAAAAATTAAAACTTAGAAGGTGGCATATAGTTCTTTATTACTCAGTATGTGGCATTTGATACAGGTTCTGCAAAATATTAATGCTGCAAACCTTGATACATACAGTAGCTGGGCAGATCCTACAGAGGCTGCATTTGTATTGACTCTGCCAAGAGTGTACTTGTGGGGCAGCTACTGCTCCATTTTAGCTGATTGTTGTCCTGCAGTAACATGGGCCCAGTGATGGGTGATCCTTTTGATTTTTTCAAGAAGAACTGGAGATCTAGATTGAAAAACATCTACAATATCAAATTATTAAAAAATATTTTGTGGGACGCATGAAATTGCAGGCAGTTTCTTTTCAAGCTTTTATCTGAACCTTTATTAGAAAGGTAATTATGCATTGTGTTTCTATTTTGATGTGCGTATCTAGAATTATTTCCTCCTTAATACCTGAAACCTGATGTAATTTAAGGGTTAAGAGTAATCTATTCTAATAGAGACATGGTTGTTAATGGGCTCCTCCTCCATGTTAGTCTGTACTTCATGTTGTAGTAGAAGACTCAAACCTGTTTAAACACAGTAAAAAGGATTTATAGGCTCATTTATCTGGAAGTCTAAAGGTAGGGCAAGTTATATAGTAACAGTAATATTAAAGACCAGTTTCTTTCTGTTGCTCTTTCCCTTTCTGTGATGTCAGCTTTAGTCCGTTGCTGTTCCCCTCATGGTGGTAGGATGGTTGCCAGTGGTCCTGGGGGCCCTGTGTATTCTTGTTCAGGTCGCTGGGGAGAGAGCACCTGTCCTCACCTTCCAAACAAGAGCCCTGACTGGACCACTGAAGCAGTGCCTGTGGCCATTGGAATGTGCTGATTGGCTTAACTGCTTTATGCTTTACCTAAGGATCCAGTCAATTTCCTCTAAAGTATTTGAGCTGTTTGGGGAGGGATGGATACACAAAGATCTGGGTAAAACATTCGAAGTGTGAATGGATGCTGGATAGGCACCCAGTAATGCCTATTACTCTCCTTTACAAATGCATAATAATAAACAGGATTTCCCTGGTGGCTCAGACAGTAAAGAATCTGGTTGTAATGCAGAAGACTCAGGTTTGCTCCCTGGGTTGGGAAGATCCCATGGAGAAGGGAATGGCTACCCACTGCAGTATTCTTGTCTGGAGAATTCCATGCACAGGGAAGCCAGGCAGGCTGAAGTCCATGGGGTATCAAAAGAATGGAACATGACCGAGCAACTGAATAGTAATGTAAAAGATATTTGTGTAAAGAGAAAAAAAAATTGCTAACTTAACCCCCTGTCGTGATCTTGAGCAAGTTCTTTTTAACCTCTTTGTGCCTTGGTTCCCCCAGCTCTGCAATGGGGAAACTGTATTATAGCAAGAATTAAATGAGTAAATACTCAGTTATGCCCGACTGTTTGTGACCCCATGAACTGCAGCCCACCAGGCTCGTCTGCCCATGGGATTTTCCAGGCAAGGATAATGGAGTGGTTTGCCATTTCCTTCTCCAGGGTATCTTTCCAACCCAGAGATCGAA